TTATTTTACTACCCTTTAAATTGATTTCTGGAGATTATCCAAGGTACTTCATGACCCATAATTGGGTCCCAAGCCCAAAGTGCAGTGGTTCCCAAACTTTTAAGCTTTTGACCCACAAAATAACAGTAGCAGAGACCTGAGCCCCCAACCATTTTTGTCAGGTCAACTAAACATGGGCATAGTAACAATATTTTATACTACATTTATCATTTTAAATACACTAAGCTCACTGCTTTGTAACAACTAAAGCAAAAATGTCATTAATTCAGAAAATCTTGTCTAGACCAGTGTTTCCCAAAGTTGGGGTCGGGACCCAAAGTGGGGTCCTGAAACATCAAGGTGGGGTCCTGAAAAGATTTTCTGAATTAATGACATTTTTGCCTTATTTGTTACAAATGAGTTAGTGTATTTAACATAGATAATTGTATTATAAAAAATTTGTTACTATGCCCATGTTTAGTTGACCTGATACAAATGTTTATCATCCACAAATAGCTGTGGGCACAGGTCTCTGCTACTGTTATTTTGTGGGTCAAAAGCTGAAAAGTTTGGGAACCACTGCACTTTGGGCTTGGGACCCAATTATGGGTCATGAAGCACCTTGGATAATCTCCAGAAATCAATTTAAAGGGTAATAAAATAATTGCTGATGTAATATTTTCCTTATAACTATTACAGAAACACAAAATAAGTATAAATAAGTATTTATATTTGTGTACAAGCTGTTCAGCTTGTCAAAATCCTGTGTTTTTAGGGTTATTAACAAAGTTTGTACTCAGACCAGTTATATTTGGGGTCACAAGTTTTTGCCATGGGTATTTTGCAGGTCAGAAGATAAAAAGTTTGGGAACCACTGGTCTAGAGAGACTGTGTCTCGGCTGGTCCTGCTAGAGGAGCTGGCTGTGGAGACAGAGGGTCTGAGCCTCTCTGATCAAACCGCTGCTTGGAACAAGAAGAAGTAGAAGATGATGGATAGATGGAGGGATGAATGAAAATATGGATGGATGTGTGGACAAAAGAATGGATACTTTTACACAGTGTATTTTGCGACACCAGGCGGCGAAAAGCATAAGATGCAGCTTGAGTTAATCTGAAAACAGCTATTTCCTCATGGTTGTCAGTAGGGATGTCCCAATACCACTTTTTCACTTCTGATACGATACCGATATTACAACTTTGAGAATTGTCCGAAACCGATTTTGACCCGTTACCATAACAGTACAAGTCACACACTTTTACCTATTTTGTAGTGTAAAATCTTGGAAAAGTCTTGATCAGGTCAAACAGTGTAAAAGAGTAGCTATGAGAAAAACTGACCCATTTATTTTTAACCAATGGATCACATACATTTTACACTGAAGAATATTCTACAATTTAATAAAATAAATTATAATACCCTGAAAAATAAAACAAAATAAAAACAAAATGGTGTTTTAAAGTATAAAATAACAATTCAAAATCACTTAAGTTATTGTTTTACTACCCGTCAGCCTGGTGCTGCTTTATGGTGGAAAAAACTGGAGGTGGGGACAAAACAAAACCCCACATTATTGTCTGTTCAAAGTTAAGAGTCCACAGCTCCAATTTTACTGACTGTAACCAAAACATTGTGATCATTGCACTTAATCTTCACTCAAACAAGTGTGTAAACAGATTAAACATCACTCTAATAACAAGAGCAAAAAATAAATAGTAAGAATTAGTCAGTTGTTTAAATTGATAGCTGCCTTTCTTACTGCTGCATTTTCTGAGCATCATGTGGAGATCAGCCTCTCGCTCCTGCAGGGAGCAGTTTTTATCACTGCTCTCGTCATATTGCTCATTTTCCAAAACAAAAGCTGCGCTCTCCTTTCTTCTGTCCATCAATCCCAGAGCTAATCCACGGGATGTCAAAACTGTAAGCGTGCTGTCCTCGTTTCTGCTAGCTTAGAACCACCGACCGGACCAGAGAGGAGGTTCTGAAACAGCGCGGCTGTGTGCGGTCACTGGACCGAGGCTGAACCGAGCCGAACCACAAAGCTGCTGCCAGGGTGGAGAGTAGTTGTCGCTCCGGTTTAAAACGTTCACGGTTCTGTGTTCCCCCTCGGAAAACTGCAACTCTGTTTCTGATGAAAATAGAAAGTTCTGCCGACATTCTTGCTAACTTGTTAGCGCAGCATGTTGTTGTGATCACATGATCTCTGCATGCTGGATCCAAACGCTGCTGGATAGAAACACTGGAGCGGAGTCAGTGAACTGCTGGAACGGACTGCTAATATCGGAGCGCTTATATCGGACATTTTTTTATGCAGGCCGATAAAATCCGATACTCATTTTTTGGCTGATATCGGACCGATATCCGAGATCGGGACACCCCTAGTTGTCAGTAGCAGAGATCCAGTTAATGACAAACTATATTTAAAATAAACTCTATAAATCATTAGTTGGTGTTTATCAATGGTTCTGAAGCAGAAAAATATAACCCTGTTGTTTAAAAAAAGGCTTCTTTCTCCATCTAATCAAACATAGATCTGTTAGTTTGTTTTTTCTGCACTTCTGTCTTGTTCATTTCATCAAACAAGTTCACACTTAAAGTGATGCGTTGATGTTCACACTGCTGGCAAAAGTGGTCCCAATCTTTATTTTTTTTTAAACCAACCCAGCTCTTCACACGCATGGTCTTAGCAGATCCATTTGACACCAACATATTATGCTAATGGTGCTACATGTTGGATCAGACCCACACTAGCATTCATACTTGTGTTTGTTTCTACTATCAGAAGCCACATTCTGAACCCAAATATCAGATGGAAACATTGGACCAAACAATCGCTGTGTCCAAAACGACAGGCTGGGTCCTCCGGAGGACCCAGACTACCTGGTCGAGGTGGGCCGGGTCCTTGGTAGACCGGGAAGACCGGAAAAAAAGAGGCTGT